ATCGTCATTTTAAAAGCTTTATACAGAGTTTTTCCAATACTCACAAGTTTTTTTGCAATACTGCTGAGAATTCTTCTTTATTGTAACTGCATATATTAGTTGAATGAAGGGAAATTTTTATTAATACACAAATATTAATAAAAATTCGATGAAAACTACGCTAATGGTTATGATTACATCGCAATGTTCATGTTATCCTCACTTGGTCAATACTTTCTTGTTAGTTAGTAAGTAAGTAAGTTAGTTAGTTAAAAGCAACGTATATGTTTTGTAACATTCGTTTCAAATTCAGCAGTGTATTAGGCTTGAATCAGTTAGAAATAATCTATGGAATAAACTAATTTATTTCGACTTGTACTAATATTTCTTGAAATTAAGAAAAGTTCAAAAACTTGTATGCGCAATTTCCTAATCAGTACAGTGTGAGATTGATGAGGCCAATGCGATACACCGTCACTGAATATTTGTAATGCATATATTCTTCACATAGTATACGAATGGTCTTTCTTTATACGTATGACTTATACCAATGGATAGCTCAGAATCAGTAAGAAGATTTGGAATTCGCAGGTGACCCAGCTCATCTATCTCAAACACACCAACAAATGCAGATGAAGACAAACAATGCAACTGCAGCCTCTGCAACAGAAAGCCTTAACGTATGCAACGGAAAGACCTAAATTCTCAAATTCAATACGGAGAACAGTCAACCCAATCACACTTTATGAAGAAACCCTGAAAGAGTTGCAGACTTTCACGTACCTGGCTGGTCAGCATAACCGATGAAAGTGGAGGATCTAATACAGATGTGAAGGCAAGAACTGACAAAGAAAGGACAATATTCCTAGAGAACTCAAAACAACTGACAACCAATATCAAAGTCACAATCTTCAATACGAACGTCGAGACGGTCTCACCGTACGAAGCTGAAACTTAGAGAACTACATCAATCATCATCAAAAAAGTACAAGTGTTTATAAACAATTGTCTAAGAAAGTTACTCAATGTCCTTTGATCAGATACCATCAGCAACAGCCTAGCATAGAAGAGAACAAACCAACTTCCAGGTGAAGAGGAAATTATGAAAAGACTCTGGAATTGGATAGGACACATATTGAGGAAATCATCAAACTGCATCACGAGACAATCGCTAACCTGGAATTGTGAAGAGATACAGAAAAGAGTAAGACTAAAGAACACACTACGTTTGGAAATGGAAGCAGATATGAAAAGAATGAGTAGCAACCGGAAACAAAGAGAACGGATTGACCAGAACAGGTTTGGATGGAGAGTGCTGGTGGGCGGCCTATATTCGTCCACGAGGAGTAACAGGCATATGTAAGTAATGACTTATACCAGGAACTGAGACTAACTGAAAATTATTGAAAACTATCGTTTACTCACCAGTATTGAAAACGCAAGTCTACTTGTAGTCACCAGTAATTTTTCTTTATTCATTTCGAGAATATTACTGGAGTATGATTATTGATTTCTTTATTCGCGTTTGGAATCGCTGTGAAGTTGATATATTACATTTTGTCTAAATTATTAATTACATTTTACTGGACACATGGGAATTGAGATTTGCGTTATTTTTTGTTTTAGTGTTGTTCCGTATTTATCTACTTGGTTTATTTGTCTATTTTGTGTGATGTGTATAAAATCGTATTTTACTTTTGAAGAAGTTCTAGTTTCAGAACTGAACACAGAAATGCATCATTCAATCTTTTAAAAAGTCACATTTTAGTAAACATATTATGTCTGTCTAATTCAAATAAGTCGTGTTATTACATTAGAGGCTTGTTGTTTTCGTCTGATTTTGTGTTGTTTCCTAATATCCTTGATGATTCAACATTAAAAAATAGATGAATTTATCCAATATTATGTATTTAAATGGGTATATACATAAGTGTAAATGTAAGTGATTGTAATTCGTTTATTAGTTTAAGATAGATTTATATGTGCATAAAATTATTTCATCAATAAACAGATATAATTGACAATCAAAATAATTAGTCTTAACAAAAAGTTGTAATTTATTACATTATTTCAGTCTAATAACGTTTAACGTTAAGATTAAACGTGTTTTAAAATGTTTCTATAGCCCTGATATTACATTATAATTATTCTTGATAAATTAAAACATTGAAAAAGTTGTACTTACTTACTAACTTACTTACTTACTTACTTACTTACTTACTTACTTACTTACTTACTTACTTACTTACTTACTTACTTACTTACTTACTTACTTACTTACTTACTTACTTACTTACTTACTTACTTACTTACTTACTTACTTACTTACTTACTTACTTACTTACTTACTTACTTACTTACTTACTTACTTACTTACTTACTTACTTACTTACTTACTTACTTACTTACTTACTTACTTACTTACTTACTTACTTACTTACTTACTTACTTACTTACTTACTTACTTACTTACTTACTTACTTACTTACTTACTTACTTACTTACTTACTTACTTACTTACTTACTTACTTACTTACTTACTTACTTACTTACTTACTTACTTACTTACTTACTTACTTACTTACTTACTTACTTACTTACTTACTTACTTACTTACTTACTTACTTACTTACTTACTTACTTACTTACTTACTTACTTACTTACTTACTTACTTACTTACTTACTTACTTACTTACTTACTTACTTACTTACTTACTTACTTACTTACTTACTTACTTACTTACTTACTTACTTACTTACTTACTTACTTACTTACTTACTTACTTACTTACTTACTTACTTACTTACTTACTTACTTACTTACTTACTTACTTACTTACTTACTTACTTACTTACTTACTTACTTACTTACTTACTTACTTACTTACTTACTTACTTACTTACTTACTTACTTACTTACTTACTTACTTACTTACTTACTTACTTACTTACTTACTTACTTACTTACTTACTTACTTACTTACTTACTTACTTACTTACTTACTTACTTACTTACTTACTTACTTACTTACTTACTTACTTACTTACTTACTTACTTACTTACTTACTTACTTACTTACTTACTTACTTACTTACTTACTTACTTACTTACTTACTTACTTACTTACTTACTTACTTACTTACTTACTTACTTACTTACTTACTTACTTACTTACTTACTTACTTACTTACTTACTTACTTACTTACTTACTTACTTACTTACTTACTTACTTACTTACTTACTTACTTACTTACTTACTTACTTACTTACTTACTTACTTACTTACTTACTTACTTACTTACTTACTTACTTACTTACTTACTTACTTACTTACTTACTTACTTACTTACTTACTTACTTACTTACTTACTTACTTACTTACTTACTTACTTACTTACTTACTTACTTACTTACTTACTTACTTACTTACTTACTTACTTACTTACTTACTTACTTACTTACTTACTTACTTACTTACTTACTTACTTACTTACTTACTTACTTACTTACTTACTTACTTACTTACTTACTTACTTACTTACTTACTTACTTACTTACTTACTTACTTACTTACTTACTTACTTACTTACTTACTTACTTACTTACTTACTTACTTACTTACTTACTTACTTACTTACTTACTTACTTACTTACTTACTTACTTACTTACTTACTTACTTACTTACTTACTTACTTACTTACTTACTTACTTACTTACTTACTTACTTACTTACTTACTTACTTACTTACTTACTTACTTACTTACTTACTTACTTACTTACTTACTTACTTACTTACGCCTGTTACTCCTCGTGGACGAATATAGGCCGCCCACCAGCACTCTCCATCCAAACCTGTTCTGGTCAATCCGTTCTCTTTGTTTCCGGTTGCTACTCATTCTTTTCATATCTGCTTCCATTTCCAAACGTAGTGTGTTCTTTAGTCTTACTCTTTTCTGTATCTCTTCACAATTCCAGGTTAGCGATTGTCTCGTGATGCAGTTTGATGATTTCCTCAATATGTGTCCTATCCAATTCCAGAGTCTTTTCATAATTTCCTCTTCACCTGGAAGTTGGTTTGTTCTCTTCTATGCTAGGCTGTTGCTGATGGTATCTGATCAAAGGACATTGAGTAACTTTCTTAGACAATTGTTTATAAACACTTGTACTTCTTTGATGATGATTGATGTAGTTCTCTAAGTTTCAGCTTCGTACGGTGAGACCGTCTCGACGTTTGTATTGCAGATTGTGACTTTGATATTGGTTGTCAGTTGTTTTGAGTTCCCTATATTCTTCATAAAAAATTGTAATAGACTTGAAATTAGTATTTAATTTCTGCTGTATTCCATAATAAAATAATTTCAATTTAACACTAATCAACAATAAAATAAGTAGTTTTAGGTGGAACATGTTTCAGCAATAATACAAAACAATTCTTGTCTCAGACAAATACTAAATTTAACGTTTTTTTAAAGTTTTTATATCTAACATGATACAAGATAGCTATTTTTACGACATCAATTTACTATTAGGAGAAACGTTTCTAAAAAAACTAGATACATCCTGTTACACATCAATTCATTAAAGATCATGCATACTCTTCATGTGTCTGATTTGAAACTATCAACTTCCGTCAAATGATTGGTATTTTAAGCTTTTCAATTCATTTAAAATAAGAATTCTTGTAAAGCAAATAGAAACGTTTTCAACATTCATCAAACTTATCAACGAATGCTTCAAATTAGGTACTAAGATATGAAGTTCTTGTTTTTGTTATTTAGCAATGAGTATTGCATTGTTGATGAAATGATACATACCCTGATGTATTGGATATTGTAATAAAAGATTTAAAGATTGAATAATATGGAAACTAATGTCGTAGTCATTGAAAATGAAGGTTCGACCAAGTCTTCATTGTTTCATTTGAATTTGTGTTAGAGTTACAACTAAACGTGTATTTACCTAATGTTGTGGTGCATGATATTTTCTGATTGCTTGTGTCTTATTTTGGAATAAAAGATCATAAATCATTAAAACTAATAAATGAATTTTTGGGACGCAAAGAAAAATACAAAAACCAACTGGACTTAATTAAAACAAATGAAAATCTAGAAAACGTTGTTGAGCAATTGTCTGGAATGCAAGCTGAGAAGTGGACTGCTCAAAGTCAATTGTCACAGTCTATTCTGCGAGATGAAAATATGAATAAAGTAAAACAAAGTTCATTTGAGAATTTAATAAATCGTCGTAAACTTCGTAGTCAAATTAAACAAATACGTAAACGTATTCAAGTTATACAGTCTATTCAACGAATTATGGACCGTCAATATGCAAGTCTATTGGATGTTTGCGTACAGAAACGTCAGCGTTTAGAAGAAATTCTATCCTTGAGCATTGTTTATGAAGAAGTTTCAGAATTGAAAGTAAGTTCAGATACTTTAGTAATATGTTTCCTACATCGAGCATTTTGAGTTGTGCATAAAAATTTCGTTATCGAAATAAACCTATGTTTAAATTTAAAATTCTCATTTAGTGAATCATCAAGAAAACACAATTTACTGCCATCATGAATTTTAGGGAACTTTGAAGTAATCCATGACCAGTATTTTGATATTACATACTCCAATAAGAATCTTTAATTGAAGTTATCAGAAACTTTCGATATACAAATTTAGGTACCTAAGTTTTTTTCTAAAATCTGTCAAATAATTCCAACTTCATTTCGTCTTGAAATGATCTACATTTCCTAATCTATTGAATTATTGAAAGTAGGTAAGTAAGTAAGTATTTAAATATCTGAAATTCTTTGATATAAAATATTCATATACTTAACTACTATTGAAAACTGTTAGGAGATAGTGAGATCTTATACAAAATATATCCAAACTGAAGTTGAGTTATCTTTATTATGTGTAGTCATTCTTGTTATACTAACTTTAACACATGTATCTTGATTGAACTATATTTAAATATATTGATAAAACACCAAATAATGATGCTTAAGATGAACTACTTTGTATTTCTGTGTTGTACTATGTTTTACTTAACCAATATTATTATTATTAGGATTATTAGAATTAGATTATCGGTAACAAATACAAATCTGCAACTATATTACATTGTTTCAAAAACTTATTGACTTTATAAATGATCCTGATTGATTATGAAAAAGAGTACATAGATACCAAAGTAATCACTATAATTCAAATAGACAGCTAAGACTACAGGTACTCCAAATGATTGATGTACACTAATGAATTATATTATTCGAAATCATATTGCTCAACTGTGATGAATACGGAGACATGGATCCTTGGTGAAGATGACGTTTATGTTTACAACAAGTGGATAGAAACACTCTACATTGATTAAAAATAGAATGAAAAATGATATCTAAACAAAAATAGTGTTAAGGTAAACATACACGATCAAACAATACGTTTTAACATAAAATTGATATCTCATAGGTAGAACCGTATCTGACGTACTACCTGCCGTTCTTCATAAATACTTCAAAATGACCAGATTTCACGAAGATCTGTCTAATTCATCGGTCATACTTTAGCCAAAAATCGAAGAACACTAGTCACTCGATAAATTTCAAAATTTATTAAAAATTTATTACACAACCAAGCTTTCAAATGTAAGAAGGGTTTGTCCCCACAACTTCACTACATAAAGTTCAAAAATTGGAATGACCTAGTACATAAAATTATGCTTCTACTAGGAATCAAAAGTTTTCAAATTAAAATGTAGTCATCGGTAAAATTTAAAGTAATTTCACTTTGAAATATTGGCAAAAGTCAAATAAAAAGATATAAGCTTGATCTACTTACTGTGCGATAATGCCCAAGGCATGCAATCCGCACTTAATCAGTTGGCAATCAATGTCCGTAGGTATGGTATGTGCTTTGCACCTTCGAAGTGTAAAGTAATTCTACAAGACTGGCAGGATTCTAATCCTATACTCACCCTGGATGGTGAGCAGATAGAAGTAGTCGAGAAATTCGTGTGTCTAGGTAGCTGCACAAGTGCTGGTGGGGGTGTGAGTGATGAGATCAATGCACGTATAGTGAAAGCCAGAGCGGCTTATGCCAATCTGGGCCATCTTTGGCGCCTTCGTGATGTTAGTCTGGCTGTAAAAAGTCGGATCTACAACGCGTCGGTGAGAGCAGTTCCGCTCTATGCTTGTGAAACCTGGCCTCTCCGAGTTAAGGATGTTAGACGACTCTCTGTGTTCGTGTTATGACCTTGAATCGCTTTTACCCCGTGATACTTGTTATGACTTCACCTTGATCTGTCTAGACTAAACTATGACCTTGACGCGCTAGGCTGAGTGGCTTAACCTTGAGTATAATACGCGTGAGTTCGATCGGGGTAGAGAGAACTATTCTAAATCCTGATTGGTTGATAAGCACGCGAGCGAAAGAAGACAAGACAGTTGGAACACTAAACTCTGGATTCTCTGAATTCAGATTACTACAAAAATGTATATGAATAAATAAGTGCATATCTTGACCACGACGTACGATAATTTGGAAAAATACAGTTATACCCGAAACAGGGAATTAGGGTAGAAAATATAGTGCAAAATATAATGTTTAAACTACAATATTTTTGGAACAAAAAAGGGTATGCTAGTGAATGATACATAGAACGAAAGCTCGTGTTATGTAGAATAAGATAGGGACAAAAATAAATATAAGTGTTTTACAGGTTTTGAATGAAATGCAATAGCGTCCTAAGAAAATAGCTTTCGTAATTGTCTGGGCTTCTAAATTCCCCGTTCATAACAGTTCGATCATCGTTGTCTCCGAAGGATTGCTGACATCCAGTGGCAACACCATGTCAGTAATTCAGAGGTTCGGCATCGTGTGTTCGGGCGTACAGCAATAATGCAATTGGTGTCACCAACTTGAAACACCGACTTCGGTGGCTTGGACATGTTCTACAAATGTCGTCCCAGATAATTCCACATCGTGCATTATTTTCCGACTCTGGGACTGGTTGGAAAAAGAGGAGAGGTGGTCAGTATACGACATGGTGTCGTGGTATGAAAGAAAGCTGCAAAGCACCGGCTTCTGTCGGTCCTTCATGACTCCCTGGTTGGGGTCCGAGAGATGGTGCATTACGGTGGCTAGAGACGTTATGAGATATGGCTCAGAATAGAAGCCAGTTGCAATCCTGCTGTAAAATTCTTTTACTTTCTTCATAAAAAGTGGTTATATCTTCCTTAACTAAAAGGATTCTTTCTGATTGTACCTTTTCGTTTCCCCCATTATTATTACTATTACACTACCTTACACTAATGTGGTCGTTATTGTTCTCTTTTGTTTCCTTCTCTTTAAATTCTCAATTGATTTGTGTGGCGCATATATATTCGGTGCCCTCTTGTACCAATATTTATGCGTTCAAATAAATAAATAAATAAAATAAATTACCCGATCCACGATGATCAATACTTCAAATAAAATTTTGAATGACATTATATCCGAATTCAGTTACTAATATGCAACAGATCATTTTAGTTAGCTGACGATACTGAAGTTTAAACAATTTGTTCGGTAGACCTACTGATCTAAATTTTAAGTAGTTTGTTCTCCTTAACGTTTTTACTGATTATGATTTCAAACATTATTTAATTCGTTTTTATTAGATGAACCTTTACTGAATAGAAGATAACTACAAATCTCTTATTTGACTTTTTCAATATAATAAACATATCCGTTAGTTTCATTGTTATAGAAGCCTTACTTACAAGCGTATACCAGTTCAAAATAGTTGTGCACTCAAATGAGCCTATATGAAAGGTGAATAGTTCAGTTTTTAACCCTTAACAATCAGGATAAATTTATATATATATAATCCGCATTCGTATATATATCATGATAAATGCGTTGACGCGTTTATATGGTATATCTGCCTACAATTATTAACGTCATTATTGAACGTATTTTAATCGACTCATTTGAGTAAGTCATTTTCAAGGTTTCGATATAAAGTGTTTTGTACAATGCTTCATAATAACAATTTGTTCTCTTAAAACATACAGTGATACCTGTATCAAAAAGTTCATTGTGTCAACATGTTTGTGTTCATAAAAGTGTTTAATAGTTGAATTTGCTCATATAGATTTATCACAAGTATCTACATATTCTACAAATTTCATCTCATTTCTTTACTTCAGAATTGGTTAAATCAGCAAATCACTATAGCTTCTTCAACATACACTGGTCGAAGTTTGAATGAATGTGTACGTATTATCAATCGCTTCGTGCATTTTGGTGAAAATCTTCTAGGTGAATCTTTTACATCATTTGTAGAAGTTGAACTACATTCATTTGATCCTATTTCAACAGTATATACCATGAACATAACTGATCAATTTGTACATACATCTGGTTTAGCTTCTGAACGTACTGCAAGAGTTATGAATATGTGTCGTTGTTTAATACGTACAAAGCATTCAGATTCTCCACGTATTGCATTTTGGCAAGATATTATTTCAGAAACATGGGCGGATTTACGTGAATTAATTTGTTCACGAGTTAAATTATTAATTTCAGCTGCTCATCGATTTATTTTTATAATTCGTTGCTCTGTAAGTTTTTGTTCTCATTCATTTTGCACTGATACACTTTCTTTAAACACGTAAACGTGTCATATGAACTTTGAAAAAATATAGGAAACAGAGTTTTTGGTGGAGTTTTGTTCTCTGAGCTGGATGGTTTGGTCGTGGAGCTTCCATCGTTCTTCTGAACGACATCATCACCATCCAGCTCAGAGAACAAAACTCCACCAAAATCATCCACCTGAGCTACAAATCTTCTCCACCATCTTGTAGGAAACAGAGTCAATGAGGAAACAATCGATCATGTATCGATATTATTCTCCACAATTTTCCATCATGTTAAGAATGACATTTTAATGAATTTTTGTCTTGTAAAAAACCGTCATTCTCTTTGTTGATCATGTTGGATCATTTTAAAATGGCAGGAACTGTATTAAAGTTACCAGTAGGTATTACATATGGGGAGATTATTTCACTGTTGAGTTATCATAAGTTATCAGCAGATATATCGTAAATCCCTTTTCCTACATTTTTCTTAATTTGATGATAAAATTTGTTTTTGACACTATGGAAATTGTTTCCTCTGCATGTAATGAGTCATTTCGATGAGGCTGGTGGTATGGTTTACTGATGATTCTGTAAACATCATGTTGCATACTAACCCTCGATGAATAATGTTTGACTAAATACAAAGAATAAATTTCTAAGACTTTTAGACTGATTTATTAAATGAATTCATGAGTCAATTGAATCTAGACCACCATGGAAAAAACGTGGAAGCACTGGACGACCGTTTCGTCGTAGTATGGGACTCAAGCTAAATCTCATTAAGTAATCCACTCTTCTAATTTTATTCTATGACCAAGAAAATGACAGAAAATATTAGTTCGGTCATTGAAATTTTAAGTCACTACATTGTATTGTAATTGTCAACTTGAAAGTAATCGTCTTCCACCCATTGGCACATTCTCTACTAATCACAGGAAACTTTGAAACTTGTTCAAGAAAAATCGGATCAACTGTCTCAATCCATTGGTAAAGACGTACAAGCCATTTGTAAACAACTTTCGTTGTTATCTGCATTTGAACAAGATGTCCAAGCTCTTGAACCACTAGTAAGTTATTAAATCAACCGTTCATAAATATTTTGTATCACAAATTAAATAGTTGCATCTGTTAGTTCATTAAAGTAGTTATGACACAGATAATGTAAAGAATGTCCTGAGTTTCAAATTTCACCAGATCGGAACCAAGACTTCTTAACCGACAAAAAAGATCCATCATATTAAGAAACAAGAATATGAAAACTGTTAATAAGAGAAAGTTCCATTTCCGATGACATCGTAATCATATCTATGGTCATTCTAAATATGTAGAATATTTTATTGTAAGTTGAGATACTCTTACTTGAATGATAGGTTTGTAATAGTGGCTAACAGTAGAATCCAAGACGCGCGTTTCGTCCTGCTTGGGACTCGTCAGCTGGATGTACCTGCATCTCAGAATTGATGCTCACTCTGGGACTCGAATCCAGTACCATTCGCCTCAAACACCATTGCGTTATCCACTCAGCTACTGAGGTTTGTAGGTTTCAAATATCGAAAGGATTTGTATTGGAATACAGCATTGTAAAAACTTTTTCTAGAAGAGAATTAAAGAACATAACTACCGGCACCAACAATATGAAGAAAGTGAAAAGAAAAACATATAGGTTGTAAAAATAACTGATCAACAAGAATGTAAATTTAAAAAGAGATACTAAAAACTTGCTTAATTACGACTGTTACTCCTTATGGAGAAGCGTAGGCCATCCATCTGCAATCTCCATTCAGCTCTGTTCTGGACAATCTTTTTCAGTTGTTTCCAGTTGCTATTCATCCTTTTCATGTCTGTTTCCAATACTTGGCGCAATGCATTTTTTGTTATTCAACTTTTCCGTTTCTAGTCAGGATTCCAAGTTAGCGATTGAGTCGTGATGCAGTTTGTTGATTTCCTCAATATGTGTTCTACCCACTTCTAACGTCTTTTCCTCATTTCCTCTTCATTTGGAAGCTGGTTCGTTCTCCCTCACAGTAGGCTGTTTCTGATGGTATTCGGCAAACGAACACTGGGTATCTTTAGCAGACAATTGTTTAGAAACACTTGTGCATTTTTGATGGTGGTTGTGATAGTCCTTCAAGTTTCAACTCCGTACAGAAGGACTGTCTCGACGTTCGTAATAAAAACTCTAACTTTGATATTGGTTGAGAGTTGTTTTCAGTTCCATATGTTCTTCAATTGTAGGAATGCTTCCCTTGATTTGCCAATCCTCGCCTTTACGTATGCATTGGATCGTCCTTGTCCATTGATGATGCTGATCCTCCAGGTACGCGAAAGTCTGCACCTCTTCCAGAGTTTCTCCATCGAATGTGATTGGGTTGGTTGTTCTCCGTGTTGAATTTGAGAATCTTGGTTTTTGCCTTGCGTATGTTGAGGCTTACTGATGCAGCGGCTGCTGCAACACTAGTTGTCTTGACATGCATTTGTTCATGTGTATGTGATCGAAGGGTCAAGTCATCTGTGAAGTCTAAATCTTCTATATGTTTCTAATCTATCCAGTGTATTCCGTGCTTCACCTCAGATGTGGAGCTCTTCATAATCCAGTCAACCGCCAGAAGAAAGAGGAAGGGAAAGAGTAAGCTACCCTACCTGAATCCGGTCCTCAGTTCGAATGTGTTTGTCAACTGTTCTGCATTCACGACTTTGCACTGTAGTTCATCGTGTGAATTTCGTATGATGATGAAGATTTTCTCAGGTACACCATAGTATCGAGAAAGATTACATAAGGCCATCCTTTCCCAACTGTCAAGGAATTCGATTTATAGTGGTTAATGCCATCAAATTGATTGCTCAATAATGATCCATAGTGTCGCTGTTTGTTCCGTGCACGACGGATCCTTACGGAATCTGGTCTGTTGAGAGCGAAGCTGGACATCTACTGAGTTTTTCGTCCTGTCCAGCGTCACTTTGTTGAAAACGTTTCCTGGTACCGATAGTATTGTGATTCCTCTATAGTTCTCACATTTGCTCAGATCTCCTCTCCTTGTCATCTTGATGAGATATCTTTTTTCCAATCCGCCAGCGTCACTTCTTCTTCCTCCCAAATCTTCCTGAATAGAACGTGAAGCATATTTACAGTTATTTTTGTGTCTGACTTAAGTACTTCAGCTGGTATATTGTCATATCCTCCTGCTTCCCCTCTCTTGATTTGTCTGATGGTCATCCTGATTTCTTCGATCGTCGATAAAGTGACATTATGTCCAAAATATTGAGCAAGTAAATAGGTTTATGAATCATGAAGTTTTCATATTCACAGTAAACAGCGGTCTAATTTAAGTGAACAGATTTCCATTCATTACCAGGATTAATACAGTAAACAACTAGATTTCAAGTAAAAACATAAATCTAAATTTATTTTAAGACGGTTTAAACATTTGTAGTGTTAAAAAATAGAACTATCCACTGCTTATCATCATTTTATTCAATGATACAGATTAATTGGGTAGAAAAAGCAGCGGATTATCTTCTTCCTCTATATTCTGGTAATTGGATTAAACGTTTAAAAAAACCACGTGATATTCTTCTCTCTGTCTGGTATCAACTTAAAGATAAAACTCATCTTCGTCGTATCAGATTAAAACGTGCTATTGCATTATATCGTTGGATAACCAATTTAGATAGTCTTTTCAATTGGATTCAACAATGTCAAAAAGAATTAGAACGTATTGAAATGGATATATGGAATATGAATCCACCACAATCTACTGTCATTAAGAAATCGAATCACATGTAATGTTGAGATTTACTTTTTTTTCTTTTTTCTATTTTGGTCATACTTTACTATGTTCTATTTGTTAAAATCCGATAGTGTTTCAAGAAGAAATGACATTTTAAGCAAGGATTAATTGGTCATGATCAGCTTTGGATAACAAAAAAAACGTATCTTTTTACAAATCAAATTATATTATTTGACAGTATAGGGGTTGTGGAGATTATTAAGTCTTTTGATTGAGATCATGAATCAATCGATGTTGGACCACCGCTGGAAACCTGGAAGCACTGGACGGCCGTTTCGTCCTAGTATGGGACTCCTCAGTGGCAGTACGCATCCACGATCCTGCCCCTCGCGAGATTCGATCCCAGGACCTATCGGTCTCGCTGTGCCGGCATCCAATGGTCTTAGTGTTAGTGGACTGGTTGATGTTAAACACTAGCGCGAGACTGATAGGTCCTGGGTTCGAATCTCGCAGGGAGCTGGATAGTGTATAATTTGATTTCAACACAAGAATTTTAAACAATTCGAACAAGTTGTATAGATGCTTTTTGTAAAACTAACAATTTACAGTGGAAATCATGGCGAGACTATAATTTCTGGACTAACCAATCAGGCATAAGATAACAGGTCATGAATTTTGGCGCGAAATTCACTCATTCATTTGACTAAATAGCATTTTGGCATTAGATCACGATGAAAACCGTAAATCTAATACCTAGCCTTACCATCAACTGTAAATCATAATTCTAATTCTTCAAATAGGTTTATAACCCTCATTTTGTCCTAATTATTAGGTGCACACTATCAAGGTCATCATGGCTTCTCTCAAAGGTCATCCATAAATTAAAGTCTCACTGAAATCATTTCAGTTTTAGATGAATCATACTGAAATATCTGTAATTAAATTCATTCATAGTTATATAATATACTCTTGTGGGCCAGGGTAATTTTACATTGGTTTTCAGGAGAACCAGACACCATCCAGACTTTCATGTGACAACCCAAGCAGTACAGCTCAATCCCGCTTCACAGGAGAACCAGACACCGTATAGGCTTTAACGCTACAATCTGAATACTACGACTCAATCCTGTGGCGCAACCACGCAGGTACTGAGCACTCTGGTGGACCATTCGCACCATTCATATACACATTCACGTCACATGTATAGTTATTCCGATCAATGATCGCGTGGATCAGTTATGCACAGCACGAACAGGCCAAAGTTGACCCATTCCGCTTACACGACAGTCAAACTCGTTAATGTTAGCAATCGCGACATGTCTTACAATATCCCAATGACAATGGCCCTCGGGAACACTGAAAAGCAACCACCAGTATGAATGAAATCGGTTAACCAGCAAATCAAATTTTTGCATGAACAGTCAGCAAAACTTGACAAAGCAATATCGAACCGTCCACAATACCAATGGCGAACCTCCAGCCTCATATCAGACCTTCAGCTCTACATAGCCATATAGCTTATACTGCATACAACACATTTGTAGAGTAGTAAACGAAATAGTCCAGCCTGAAGCGTTAGTGCTTAAATAACGCTTAATACTCATTGTCGGGTTTCGGAATTCTATTACTAGACTACCAAGATCATTTTCATCGCATTTGCGAAATTTCCATTTTTCTGACTTTTCAGACCCTGAGAGTTAGGCGTAGTATCCCTTGTAATTAAATTGGGTTGTTATAAAGATTGTAAATTTCTAATCAGTGTGAACAATCAAAAGGTGACACTTAAAAGATCTACTGTCTATCATTCATGATTATTTATTCTTTACCGTTTAAATTGTATTGACTATTCATAATATTAATTTGATAAATTCACTCAGCAACATGATTCTCATCATGGTGGATAATGTTTTAATCATCATCATCTATGATTAACAGAAGTCTCTCATAAAGTAGAAAAACAATAAAAATGTTGTTCCAAATGAGAATTCGAAAAAAATACTGACTATAATATCATACTTCGGGTGCTTTCATGATGCGCTTTTGTAATATGATGAATACCCATCGTATACATATCAACAACATATAGAAAGTGAACAAAATTGTTTTAAATAAATCTTCATCAGGCTTTGTTCTACTGGTATATATAATAATGCATACATACATATATATTTCTGAATAATTTTTTTCTGGTTAGCGATTGTTAGCGAGTTAGTTTTCTACGGGATGGGGTCGCCAACCCCATGCCCAACCCTCCTCCTTTAACCGGGCTTGGGACCGGCAGTAGCCTCCGGAGGGACTCCAGGAGGAGTTTATACATATATATGGCAATAACATAATAACATTGATATATGTGTAGTTCAATAATATTAGACCAGAAAGGGAATTTGTGAGTAAATAATAACATTAAAACAGATTGTATACCCAAGCATACTAAGGCAAAAGACACAAGTAAATAATATATTGACAGGTAAAGTAATTAAATAAAAGCATAATTGGGCTTTCTCCAGCCGAGAAAGTCACTGAGATATTATAAACTGATTTTGAACACAAGGACTAGAGCTGTTAACTCGAATGTTCATACTTTCTGTCATGAACAAACTTTATTCGTAAAAAAAAACTGAAAGCATTAGACAAGCCACTGTGATTGTTTTCGTTCCACCTACAACAAGAAGCTATCAGTTAATTCTTTTAAAGAATTGAAACAAGATGTTAACTAAACTAACCACGAATCGAAAACAACATAACCCTAAGATTTAAATATAGTTCAGAAGTCATAGGTTCTTCTTTGCTTGTATAGAGTTAGGGTTTGTTATCCATACCCCGAAACATTAAACAGGCTGATTCGAATCAGAAGTCTATTACACAAATTAGTCATTAAAATAAGCATCGAAGGCGTTTTATATTTTACTTCTATGGTCGAAGATATAAATGTAAACAAACGTAAAGCCTTTTGGAGATCTTACTGAAAACAGTATTATTTGTTTAGATGTATTTTAAGAAAACTGAAACTTGTAAGTTCAATAGTTAATAATTCATTTTTGCCATATCGACAGGAACTTCCGATGCAATCGTCTTAGCTCTATGAATTTTTGAAAACCAATAAAATTGTTGATTACTAATCTTATTGGTTTGCATCATTGTTTCTTACCAACCCCGAACGTTGTTGCTACCTTCACGTGGTGGTCGGGCTTGCCTATCGTGATGAAGCAACCAAGCTATACTGGCTGGAACAACCGTTCCTCAAGATCCTACCATGTCAGACAGGTCGCTTGAAGAGCAGTAAGACTAAAAGCAGCAAACCCAAGTTACGAAGCAGAAGTCGTACTGCTGACTGTACAGAGGTGTGACAGTAGTAAGGTGTTTCCTTCAGACAACCAGCATGACGGCGATGCTGCCTTCACACAAGGAGGGGTGGGTGGGGTTAGAAAAGGTCGACCCTAAAAGTGCACACCTCGCCTTATCCCACGGGTATCCGTCTCCGGCGATAAGGTCTCAACAAGTACGGAGCTAACACAAAAATTACTCATAAAAAGGTCGTGTGTGACCGACTTCAAGCAGTTGTCTCTTGGGCACTGCGGTCACGCTCTCAGGTCACTAAGACCACCTCTAATCCAACTTCTTTTTTGAGGTACCTCCAGAACAACCCTTCCACGTGTGGGCAACCGAGAAGTGATAACCTCCCTCATACCTCTAACATCACTCAAGACCACTGTATTCATAATCAACCTATTCTTACCAACGATATTTGTTAGATTTCGGTCAATCACCCAGGACTGAACGTAGTTATTGTTCTTTCAATTATGATATCATGATTTAAAAGTTCAAGAATGAAGACTTTTATCATTTAAAAACATTTTAGTATTTTTTATAAATCTGATTTCTGCATAGCTTTTACCAGTTCTCCACTACCAATCTACAGTTGTAAATTGTGAGTATTGTTTCATAACATCAGGTAATAAACATCTAAGGATTAAAAGAAAAAGAGTATAATATTTATGATGGTATAGCTTACCTCTGATCTATATCTTAATAGATGTATTTCGTTCACTTGAAAATAGTACATAGGTGTACACTATGAATAACTAAAAAAGGCCTGGAAACATTCTTGATCATGTAATCAATATAAAATAGATCTAAATCATTCTAATTCAAAAGATAGATATATCATCTCAATAATGATTAATCTACCTCCGTTTATTATGTTTTCTATCTTTCTATTTATTGCCAAATTCTAGTCTTATTTATCTTTTCCCAATTTGTTATCAATTAAAGTTTCTAAACAAGAAAAAAAGTATAAACTAGGAGTGATGTAAAATCATTTGTCATTTTCAGAAAGAATAAACGATAATGTTTCTGAACGAACCAATCAGGCATAAGATAACAGGTCATGAATTTTGGCGCGAAATTCACTCATTCATTTGACTAAATAGCATTTTGGCATTAGATCACGATGAAAACCGTAAATCTAATACCTAGTCTTATCATCAACTGTAAATCATAATTCTAATTAAAGATTCCCATTGTGAAAATTAGAACAACACATATAAGCGAACAATTGTTTTCAATTAGATCGTCATCAGGCTTTACTCTAATATACATGAATATTTATACGAAAATGTTAAACCAATCAAGGCAATATGAGTCAATAATCACAATGAAATAGAATAAGTCACTACACATAATAGGTAAAAGTACAAGTTGATAGTACGAAGACAGGTGTAGTGACTTATTCTATTTCATTGTGATTATTGACTCATATTGCCTTGATTGGTTTAACATTTTCGTATAAATATTCATATATATTAGAGTAAAGCCTGATGACGATCTAATTGAAAACAATTGTTCGCTTATATGTGTTGTTATAATTCTAATTCTTCAAACAGGTTTATAACCCTCATTTTGTCCTAATTATTAGGTGCACACTATCAAAGTCATCATGGCATCTCCCAAAGGTGTAATTGGTTAAAAATATAATTTGTGTATTGGTTGATGAAATAAATCCTTATCTATTATGGATATTTTTCCTTTGCCTTGCTTTGAACTATAATCAACACTATCACATTAATAATAATAATACAAGGAATTCCAGTTATCTAGTCCTCATCGTATAGAAGTTGCAAATGTATTGTATCCTGTGAAGAGACCTGAGTAGATAGAATGGACTTAGATCAGTTCAGCCTATCATGAACTGTATGACGCTAGATGTTAGTCGAAAATCAGATGACAATGGACAGTTTTTTTTATCCTATTATAGAACATTTCAAAAGTCCTCATCCGTGAGCCTACCAAGGGTTGATATTGGTAGTGCAATATGATTAGTTCATTTGCCGGAATATTATGTAATGGCTGCAAGATCTGTATGATTTGGGTTCGACCACTTGGGGATTAGATATCAAACAATACTAAGGAGTTCAATGTTCGAATGTTCAGCGATTTTCAATGTTGTTTCCATACGAAATGAGCGCTAACTACAAATATTTTTTTGTTTTTCAACAGTTTTCTAGACGTGATCAAACGGATATATTAAAAATAGTAGTTTATAATTCCATATTTTCCAGCATTCATTCTTAACTCATTTGTGAGTCTATTGAACAGTTGCTTTTTAGTTCTGTTAGTTCATACCACAAAAATGGTGCACAATAGTTCATGTGGTCATTTATTTCTTTTTACTTTAAAGCATTTATAAAACTCTATATTTATTCCAGATAATGTCTATCATTTTGGTGGAGCTTTGGTCACGACCAAACCATCCAGCTCAAAGAACAAAACTCCACCAAAATCATCCACCTGAGCTACAAATCTTCTCCACCAATGTCTATCATTTCTAATCAAGATAAGTAGTATAATTATATCGAAACCAACTGGTTTACAGCAAATATTGCGGTTGGCTTCAAAATCTTTAATTAGCATTTCAGACATCTGAATATGTTAGGTCATGATCAACCGAACTGTTTATGTTTGTTCTTTCTTCAAATGGTTATTAACAACAGGAATTATCTACATTACTGTCAAACTATCAATTGCTAAAGTCTTGGCACTCCGGTTTTTTAAACAAAAACTATGAGCTTCTCAATACTGAATCAAGGTTTTTCTGTCACACATCATAAGGGTGATGAATTAACTTTCAGTAAGATGAAATTTAGATTTTTATTCCCAACAACTGCTGAAATAATCACCCAACTTAACGAGTGTTTGATTTCGAGTCAGTCAGTCAGTCAGTAACAACGTAGAACTTCGTACGTACGTACATCAGTTCGAGTTGCCACACCACATTAGCACACAGATTTAGTAGTCGATTCAAATCCCGTAGTGGTAGAGGTAATAAGAGTATAAGCAGTAATCGGGAAAATTAGTGTTTGGAGATGCTATTTAAAGAGTATAATCCAGTGAAATAAATTTGGGAAGAAAAAAAAAGAGACAAGGAGGAATAAGGAGATCAAAATTGGAGAGAACACAAAGAGTGGATGCATCTGCGCCATTGCAAACGATTTTGAGCCATGTCATTCAAGGTCTCTAACCATCGGTTGCCATCATCTAGCGGTCCCCAATCAGGTAGTCTACACCTACCAACATGACTCAGTCCACTTGTCAGTGACCTCATGGACTTGTGCCATGTTTTGGTCTGGCCGCCCCTAGCATTCTTCAAATCTACTCCTATACCACTGAACATCGCACATCGAGGCAGTCGGTGATTGTGCATACGTAACACATGTCCCAGCCATCTCAACTGATCAAGTTTCACTACTTCACCAATTGATTTGCCATCCTCACCTAGTACCCGTTTCCTAACAACTGTGTTACTTACTCGATGGTCCCATGATATACGAGCAATATTTCGAAGACACCTATGATTAAATACTAGTAACCTACGAATATCCTCTACTCTTACCGGCCATGTTTCACTGCCATAAAGTAGGACGGAACGAACTGCTGCGCAGTAAACACGTCCTTTGGTTGATAGACGGATATCTCGCCTACGCCATAAATGACGCAAGTTGGCAAAAGCTAGTCGAGCCTTCTGTATCCGTGCTGAGATTTCGTCACACACCAGACCACAAGGACTGATGAGACCTCCAAGATAAGTGAAGCGGTCGACACACTCAACTACTTCACTCCCTATCACTAGTTCGGGTGTCGATGTAACCTAATCCTGAAGCAACATTTTGCATTTCGAGGGAGAGAATCGCATCCCGAACATGCTTGCATTGTTGCTTAGAGTGGTCAGAAGACTCTGCATTCTGTCAGCGTCTTCACCAAATAAAACGATGTCACCAGTATATTCTAAGTCAACAAGTGAACCTCCTGGTAGAAGTTCAACCCCTGGAAATCTAGACGATGAAAGTGTTATCTCTAAAAGTACGTCGACGACAAAGTTGAACAAGAATGGAGAGAGAGAGGACAGCCCTGACGAACACCACTTGAGGTAATCAATTCTGATGACAGTTCGCCATAAGCTCTCACTCTACTATTTGTGTTCGAGTAGAGAGCCTGTATAAGGTTAAGTAATAAATATAAAGCATTTTCACGTAGTTCAACCATGTCTAGCGAGTTATCAATGTCAGTGGTTTGTTCAATAGCATTGCTTCAAAGTCTCTTTTAAGAAACTAACTACGTGACTTTAAAAAAAAACATAATTTTTAAAACAGCACTGGAATGTAGTATGGTTCGTGCTACTTGTATCAACATAAGTAGTATATAACGTTAATTAGGAATGGAATGTCTGGCAGCAGGATCTCAAGGAGATCAAGAAGGAAAGAACGGGAGCAGAAGGCAATCGAAATAGAAATGCAGGAACAATGAAGTCTGAAACAACTGACTGATATTTGCGAATGGAACATTCAAGTTTTAGACAATTGACTGACATTGTATGGTTCTCAGATTTCACTATGATGTTCTGTAATTTTGTTTCGTTCACTACAGTAGTATCATGACTACAACAAAACAAATCATAACTCGTTATGTTGGTGCCTAATTATAGAAAAGAAACTAACTACTTTTCTATCTGCGAAATCTCATTTTTACGATGCCATGAGGGTTAAGTTACAAATTTCAAGTTTATTGAAGTAAAAAAAATGACTAACTTCGGTACATGAGCAAATTCAGACTTGTTGTTTGCTGAAAGGTGAAATCTTTAAGCTTCTCAAAATACATCAGTTGGTTTTCATGTTGTTCTGCATGAATTAGTCACCATAGTAACAAAAGAACCTTAAAAGTCCCATACTTAGATCGTTTTTTTTATTTTGCATAAGTAACAAGGTCCAATTTCGTTGCTAAGTCTGCTCATCTGTGAATTTAACAAGGTTTTATGTTTACTTTTATATTTCAAATATTTCCCATAATTATTTACCCATGTTTTTACTCTAAATGACCGAAAGTTTATAAAACATTGTCCTTTTTATATTTCAGTACAACTGAGAATATAAAATTTGCCATTGGTCAAGCACTTCAGTTGCGAGCCGAACTAAATGCTAGAGATGACAAAGTCAAGTCATATTTAGAAGAAGGTAAAAGACTGAAAGCTTCATTCAAACAACATTTGATGCAATATGATAGGTCAAGATATGAAAAGTGCCATCAGCCATACGAAATGTCTCAGTTATATTCGAAAATAGCAATGGGAAAACAACATGGAACTAATAATCCAGCTGATGAAATACAAATTTGTAAGATCAGTGAACAGCGGAAAAAGTTACGGAATAATACCTTACAAAATGTGAATGTTACTGACAAGCATTGTATTATAGAAAAAGCTGAACAACACAGTCGAATCGCAACAGTTAGATCAATTTCCTCTGATCCTCACCTTGAATCTGTGAGGTTAAATGCAAATTACAGTCAAAAGTCAGATTCATCATCTATGGCATTAAATCAACTGGATTTACAAAATGAGAGTGATATGAGCAATGAAGAAGACCAAATAATAACAGATCTTCAGTTACGTATGACACGATTAGTAACATCATGGTATAATTTGCACAAGAAATGGCATCAAATATATGAACGACTAGAATTACAACTTAGTATTAATGAATTTGCAAGGTTAGTTAAATGATAACTGATCACTAATTGACTTCTTATACTATTGAAATTTGATCATTCAATTAATGGTTTCGTTATTTTACACAACCATTTGATCGGTCTGTAAGACAATTCACACGAAATACTCTTGATCTTGAACTTAGTCATCCATTTAAACAGATACATTTCAAAGGGTTTCTACTGCTGATGTTTTTTTCGCAACTAACCTGTCTGTCACTGCTTTAGTTATTTCGAATAATGTGTATGGCTAGTCTCGGAAATAAATGCCTATGATTCGAGCTTTTTCACAAAGATATTTTCAAAGTTTTAGCTTTTTAAGCTCCTATGATTCAGCCTATCAAATTCTATGTAAATCACGATGCTAATGAAGACCCGGGAGGAGTTTACACTTGTTTTTGGTATGTTATTGCTGTCCTCCTTATTATTCACGCATAATTAATTCATTAATCAGAGGTTCATATTTCTTAACGAATCGGTTATCAATGTAATCAGTCAAATTGTAATGCTTTTAAAGTGACAGAGGTTTAACTTTATACTGAAAATATTTCAGATGTATTGAGATCAATGACTACTTAATACTTCTATTGGCAAATAGTGTGAACATAATCAATCAAATAATGAACTGAGAAATAAGCCTTAGATAGTGAAGAAGGTTGAAATCATCTATAATTCAAGTCAACTAAACTGATTCATCGATTCAACATTTCAAACGTCAGCTCATAATCCGAGTGGCCTATATGCATTTATCTAACTCTGAAAGTTGAACTATTTTATCTCATTTTATGGTGTGATAGTTACATATATATTATTTTTGCTTCGTTTTCTAACTATTCGTTCATCAGTCATAGGAAGGAATAGTACAACTGTTCAGTCTATTTACTAATTTCGATTATCATGTGATCATTTGCGTACATGTATTTGTTATTTTTCTTATCAAGTGTCGCAGATTCTTTGGAACATTGGCTGGTACTTCATTCAGCAGAAGTGGAATGTTTAGATATGGGTGATTCTATCAAGGAAACACAAATATTAATTGATCGATTAAATGTCTTGGAACGGAATACTTTGCCACAAATCAGCAGATATGAAAAAGTTAAACAACTTACAAAGGTTTGCTTAGATGTCACATTTAAAACGTTCAATATTCAATGGTTAAGATCGTGAGTCAGTTGAAGCTAGACCTGGAAGCACTGGACGGCCGTTTCGTTCTATTACGGGACCCCTCAGCAGTGCGCATCCACGACCTCGCCCCCTGCGAGAATCGAACCCAGCATCTACTGGTTTCGCGCGCGAGCACTTAACCACTAGAACACTGAGCCGACATCTAACACTGTTAATGTTTAACTTCAACTAATCCATGAAATCGAGCGACACATCCACCATTGTCTTCACAACAGACCTGGTTGAACTCCACTGGTCACTATTTCTCACTTGTTATCCAGAAACAAATATTTGCTTAAAAGGTTATACTGATGAAATAAATACAAATATATATAAATCATCTATCTCCAGTAATCAATAAAACATTGAACTTTTTAACTTAGCTGTAGATTTTTAAGACGATTTACAAAGATTATAGGCACAACCATCTTCAGCTATGTTATCAGTAATACATCCGTTGAATACTAAATTTTGGTAAAGAAATTGCTTTTGTCTATTTAGATGGTGGCATGAAATGAAACTCAGTAAAGCTTTTGTCAATGTCTAGTTCAATTTGATACCATTTCAAAGTGTTGTGAATTACTGATTAAGGAAATGGACGTTTTTCTCTATTTCAAATCGACACTTATTGCATTCACTTTTAATAGCTAAAGTCAAAGATACTTGGAAATAAGCGTTTGAGTAATATCATGCGACAAGTTCAATGTGAAGGCTCTTATACAAGTAAAGATTAGAGTCAAACTTGAAAAGTGCTCAAATAGCTACTGTATGTTTTGAAACATTTTTGGAACGCAATACAAAGTATCAACCACTAGTGAATTACTGTTAGAATGCACAAAATCTTGAGTTCTTTTTAGTCTTTAACTATGATAAGATGATGTTCTCCTCAAGATTATATTAAGAAGTGGGTGGTGTATTTCTCAAGGGGGGGTAGACAAGCTGAAGTATAATGTTCGGGGTTTCATCATAATAATGTTCTATGACTTGTATAGTAAGTGATCAGTCATTGTGTATATTCAGCTCGGTGAAAGGTGGGGAGAATCATCCAGTCAGTATTGCTTATGTGACATAATAATCATAAACATACATTGCCTATAATTATATAAGGTTAACATTCCAAAGCATTACACTCTTAGTGAACTATATGAGCAATTGTTCTAGTCATGTTAATACTTTTGGTTCCATAAATGTATAGAACTTTAGATTTTCGACTGACGAAATTGACATATTTTAGACCAGGCAAGTGAACTAATGACGTTATGCATTGAATAATATTTCAATGAAGCATAAGCACTAATTCAATGTTACCTTAGTCATTTTGATAGTTTATTATTTTATTTATTTTAACACATAGATATTGGTACAAGGAGGCACCAAATACATATGTGCCACACATATCTCATTCTATGTGCGTGAGGGCTGTGTTATTGGCCGGATGCCCAAACAGAAGCAGGTGGTTTTCTTAGGGGGCCACCCCCTTAGCCTTCAACCTGAAGGTCTGATCCACAAGACAGTGTATCAACGTAGGGAGATGCAGTCGCATGGTAGCCGGTGACCAACAATTGGTTCATACGCCATTTGTTCCTTCTGGATCTTGGAGCCCATGTGCACCATTAGTTTGGAATCCGCTTAAAGCGCCGGACATTCGCATTTCGTTCTCTCATTTTGATAAACAACACTGTGGCCACGAGAAGGCAGTGAGTAGGACTTCTCTGGCAGAGGCTATATTTCTGGTTAGATAAAAAAAAATGTCGGCGACCATACCACGTTGAAAGCACCGGTTCTCGTTCGATCACCGCGGTTAAGCAACGTTTTGATAGTGATTTCTTAAATCTCATTCTCTTTTAAAGAATAACAGATGGAATCTAAATTTTAATACACATTCACAATTTAAGACTTTAAGTTTACTATGTTTCACATTTCACAATGTGTCTTTAGAATATTTAACTTTTTTTAAAAACTCATTAAGAAGGGCAGACATCTCTTTCATATTACTTTCTTCAGTGTAGAATATATATGCCCACCCACTTTGGCTCCATCATTTATCAGCATGTTACATATACTTTCTTAATTTGTTTTAGTTTGAACTCACTGAGATCAATGAAAATATGCTGAATGTGCCAATAAGTTGTGTGAATATTGTTCACAGTCCGGATCTAGAAAATATACAAACACTTTTAAATTACTATGAATTGAACGAAACAGATGCATCAAATGATCTCGATGATTCTAAGCAGAATGTCGACACGATGACAGATGAGAATTTAAAGGATACTACTGATTCACCTGAAGTTAGTTGGGAGGTGGCAGAAGGTCAGTATCTTTCACTCGGTAGTTTCACATAACACATATACTTTTAATTTATTAAAATTTATTCACAAATTATAAAAAGTAGTTTAACTAAACTAAATATTTCGAAATTCCTGGTTATTTGACATGATCACAGAAAAAAGCGGGAAAAACAGGATTTTCAGTTCATTTCGAGACTTTCTATCAGCTACAAATAATATAAAACCACATTTAGTAACATCATTGCTTACACGTTTTTCAAATACCTTACTTATGCTATTTGAACTCGACTTCCTTGGTGATGATGATGATGATGATACCGTGAAAGTTTGTTTATAGTCTAATCATAGAATCTCTCTGTTTAAATCAGAATGCAATATGTGACATCATTGTTCACATGATACATGTCCAGGCTATTATCGAGTCATTAAACAAACTAACACATTTGATTCGTAGTTTGATTAATCTCTCAGTGGTTACTAGCTGTTATAATTCTCTCAGTTAGTAATGTTTTCATTTAATGTAGTATTGTGGTACGTGCTACTTATATTGATATAAGTAGTATATTATGCGAGTCAGGAATGTAATGTTTGGCAGCAGAAGATGAGGGAAGATCAAGAAAGCAAGAGCGGGAATAGAATGCAACCTGTATGAAAATGTAAGAACAATGAAGTCTGAGGCATTATGAGACAACTGGTGGACATTTTGCAAATTAACGATTTATTATCTAGTTTTCAGATTTTATTGACATGCAACATTCAATTGTCATCATCCGTGTTCAGTTCACTAAAGTATGTTTAAATAAACTAAACGCGTCTTCTGTACTATATGTATGTAGACTAGAGCAATGATTACTGGATTTTATAGGCATCAAATTTATAAGTTACGGTATGACTACTAAATGACTTCAAAGCGTAGTGTTTTGTTCGTTAAATGTTAACTTTCATTAGGCTATTCAATTTACTTCCATCATTTCTTCTAAACACTGTTTATAGATTCTATAAGTGACTATTTAATGAGAAAACACGAGTGGATTAATCATAATTGTAAATCTCGCGATCGTTCCTGGTATGAACTATATATGGTCTTAAATACATCAGTTAAACAGCTGTTAGCCTATAAAAACAAATCTGATTACAATGAATATAAGTGAGTTTATATGTTTATACTGAAATGTAAAATATTTCACCCATCATTGTTGATTTTTCTGTCACTAGTACTTTACATCTCAGGCCAGTTGTAGTATGGATGAAATACCCTCATGTACCATTTATACCAATTCATGAGTTGATCAAATAGTGTTTTCCGAAGTACACGGTAAGCCGTGAATTTCGATTGCTTCTGATGTTACTACTTAGATTATGTTAAAGTAGTATGATATTTATATAGAAAATACTGCACCATCACAAATCGCACACTAATTAAAATATTTCGTGGTTTGTACATATCACCAGTCAAATGATTCGTAAAATTCACTAATATTCCAAACATTTGGGATAAAGCGTTCGTAGATCGTATGATTGAAATTGGAAGTATGTGGTTATCTTAAACAAAAAATTCCGTTTTTATTGGATGCTTAGTTCTTACAAATTCAATGGAGAATAGTTAACTCTTACTCATTGAAACCTTGTCATAAATCGATATGCATGATTTGCTTTACCAATGATCTAACTATTCATGGCCACTTCATTGAACTGTCACCAATTATAAATGGAACATAACACTACACATTTCATTGTCACGAGCGGCATTGTCAGCCAACTCAAGAACTTCAGCCGCCAGGTGCTCGAGGACAGCTGCCAAATAAACAGGGGTACCAACTCCGAGACGTTCTGCGTAGTTACTCTTGCGAAGAGGGCGATGGACACAACCAACTGGGAACTGCAGACTAGCACGGGCTGATCGCGTTTTCACCTTAGCACGAGACTTTCCACCTTTACCAAGTCCACTCATTATCCGTTGGAGCCGAGAAACGTGTTAAATTTGCATTAGTTCTTCACTTTGTCTAAATAGTTATTTGGGGAAATAATTTCATTCTCAAGTTCTAAAAAAACATTTTGTCATTTTATTTTGTGTTTAAGTCCTCAATCCAATACATTTCGTGGAGAAACTGGATTATTGGTGGGACAGAATCTATTAACTGCTTGTGAAACAAAGGATTATACGAAACGATCCAATACTTTTCGCATTACATCTACGGCTACCGGAGCTCGGTATCTATTCCAAGTTCGTTTGATAATTGTCATTCATTATGTTTGATCATTTGAACATCATCAATCTACACTGAAATATAACATGAATTATGTGATGAATCGGATTTTAACTCACTGTGAAGTTAGGCAAATGATTTTTGAATGTTTAGTGTCAGTTTTTAAACTACAACTGTCTAAATAACCCAATACAGATGCACAGAAAGTCAAATGATCTGGCAGTAAAGGCAGATTATGCAGAAACACAATGAAAAATCCAGTTGAATAAACCTGACAGAAAAAACTAAAAATTTATTTTCTGAGTAATGCAACAGTACCCGACTTGAAGACCAGGATAACTGAAGAGACTGTATGAAAGTTTTCTGCACACCAGATCAGGTTCATTGACACATGTTACTTTGGCTTTCGTTGTATATGAGTGACAGATTCTGAAAGTCTATGATAACAGGGTTGACGAAGTTCTATCGATAAACCTAGAAGGTAAAATGTGGGTCATGACTTGTATCAACTTAATATCTCATTTTATCCTTCGTCAACTATGCAAAGTGATGTTCAGAAATCCAATGGTTTAATCATCTGGTTGTTTCCAATATTTGGTAAAAAATATTGTGATTGTTAAACTATTCGACTAAGATTTATTTTGTATTGGTTTTATAAATAAGTAAAAATCTCTGTATTAGTGTAGAGTATTGACGAGAAATTGATTGTAACCGAATATTCATTCTCTCGATTTGTTTTTATCAATTCGGCATACTTGCTTACTTACTTCTACCTTTTACTTCTAATGGAGCATAGGCCGCCGACCAGCATTCTCCAACCCACTCTGTCCTCCGCCTTATTTTCTAATTCCATCCAATTCTTGTTCATTCTCCTCATGTCTATCTTCATTTCCCGGCGTAATGTGTTCTTTGGTCATGCTCTCCTCCTTTGGCCTTGAGGATTCCATGTGAGTACTTGTCTTGTGACGCAGTTGGATGCCTTTCTCAATATGTGTCCTATCCACTTCCAGCGCTTCTTCCTGATTTCTTCCTCCGCTTCAATTTGAAATACACCGAATTCATTAGATGGTACACCACGTAACTCCTTGTTGTAACATTTTATTATAAGGAAATGGTTATAGAGTAAAAATTTTAGTCACTAATTTGGAGTATATCTCCAAATTATTGTCTATTCTGTGCTGATATGTTGACTGAGCTACTGTGAATACAATATTGTAATAAGAAAACGAGCAACGAATATCTTTTAATCAAACGTTTTCGTTACTATGATGTTACTTTTTGGTTTTGTTTTACTATCAGTAATTGACAAGAAAGTTCCTCTTGTCATCAAACAACATGAAAGCAGTGATCGTGAATACTTTCCCGTTTTCTGACAAACTTGGACCTATCTTGGTTTAATACTAGGATCTAATATAAATTGTGGAATAATCAGGACCTAGAGGGTATCTTCAAAAGTAAGGAACATCCTGCACATTTCCACGTTATGTGCAGAAAATTATAATGTTATCAATGGAAGTTAAAACTTGAGCTTCAAAAGAAAGTCAGGCGTCATTCTATTACTGGCTATTTTAAAAGGTAACACTTGTCATAAACATGACGACTTGGTTGTCCAACGAGTTCCTACTGGCCATCAGAATAACGTTTCTCCAGGTTTAGATACTTTAACTGTTTATTCAAGACTCTGGCTCATAAAATAAAGTCAATAAAAACACTCTGTTGGGAAGATCATTTAAAATGTGATAGGACCCATGTTTGATTGCCTTATGTTTACCATCAACCAGCTGGGCAGTGAAGATTGATAGGAGATGTCGTTACCTTTTTATCAGAAATCTACGAACCGCTGTTAGCAAATACTTAAACAATAACAGCTGACATCGCTAAGTGACTTACGAGAGCACTGATGCCAATGAGGATAAATATGGATCCTACAGGACCTGTTAACGCTTCCAGGTGGAGCTTCCATAGATGTAAATTCGATTGAAGTGTCAATATTTCGGTTTGTCTTTCCTTCTTTAGAATTTTCAGCGGGTGATATTAAATAACAGTGTAAAACATTTACAGATTAGGAAATTTCGTATTGATCTGTGATCTACAGTATAACACCCGAACAGTGAACATACAGATGATTCATTTATTTTAGAATTATATTTCTTAGCATGTTTACGTATTATAAATCACAATCATAAACTTATTCCCATTGTTTCCTGTTTTAGGCTCAAACCAGTGAAATTATGAGAAAGTGGCTTGATTTAATTCAAAATATCAACCGGCAAACGAGATCAACATCAGGTCCAACCCTCATCACTTTATCGAGACCATCTGAAGAATTCCAGAATCCTTTAGTCATTGTAGATATGCATGAAACATTGACTACATCGAAAAAATTAACTTCAACACAAATGTTTAGATCAAAGACAACTAATCAAATATCATGCATGCGAAGACATAGTTCAACCCAGGATAATGATCTTACAAATAATATGTTAGAGAACACAGAATCACCACAAATTCGAATGAAACGATTTCCTTCAGTGCGCACAATGAAAGTATTTTCACCAAGACAAGTAGTACGTTGGCTGACATTTAAATATTCTTCATTTTCACCCTCATCCTCCTCCGGTATGAGTCATCAAACGCCTAAATTGATTAGAAGTAGTACATCACATAATATGGAATCTGAACAGTCTGGTCAACCAACTCCAGTACTACGCAAAAGTTTAACTTATGGTTCCTTGCATAAAATTAGTCGATTTTCCATTACACCAAAGAGTCATAAAGATACATGACATGGATATCATTAGAATTGGTGTGTAAAATACATATCGACAATAACATTTGATTATCGTTAATGTCCCACCACCACCACCAAAAAAATGATAATTTTTAATTTAGTTTATAAGGTATTAGCAACTATTCAATAAAGAGAATACTTCATTGAGCCTTTAAATGTTTAGGTCTATATATATTCCAATTATGAACAATAAACAAATGATTTATATTTACATTTCAATAAAAGTTATTTCACAGTTAAAATAAAACGAATTATATAAAAAAAAACTATAGCCAGGTCAGAAAGTGCAACACAGTGACTACCGGAGAAAGTTTAAGGGTAAGGGTTAAGGTCGGAGTCAGGTCAAGGGTTAGGATTGAGGGTTAGAGTTAGGCTTGAGTGAGGGTTAGAAGGTCCGATGTTAATAGTGCATGTGTCCATGAGTATTGTGTCGTTTGTAGTGTTGTCCTGAATAGTATAGTGTATTTGGATAAGGGTGAAATGGAATGTTCATATTGACGAATTACTGTTGCGGGATATCAGTAATTCTTCGTGTGGCCGAGTGGTCCAAAGCTCTGGTTTCAGGCACCAGTTTGAAATGAGAATGAGTTCAATGCCACCCCCAACGTTCACTTTCACAAGCACCCACATCATACAGTCTCGACTATCACACATATACCAACACAAACACACAATCACAGCCAATCAACAACAACACTACCACCACATTCTCATTCTGTTCCTTGTCACTTCGAGACTTCGTCTCATTCACAACACCGACCAGTCACACTCCGTTTCCTAGTCCCACTGACAGACAACATCGTCTGAATGTATCAAACCACCTTCATGTATGCCAAATGCTTAATTCACCTGTGCTTCGTGCTCAAATCCCGAGTTCAACCACGCGTATTGTGTAAAGGCAGGCAAGCAGACCATGGTCAACCGACACGTCTCACCAGACAAACTGGCCACGTTTCTGATGGACACCAGCAGACGAGTATTCAAGTATTGAATATGAAAGTGCTTATGTATCTAGTGCATGATACACACAAACGAACACTTCGGTTCGGGTTTGGTGATGCGTCAATTTTACATCAATTAGACAGCACGATATTGTCGACGAGCTCACTACTTTATTGACAAGGGATCTGTCTCCAATTAGATCGTATATTTGATTGCTGTTGAAATATATATGTCGCTTATCCTTAACATGGTTAAAATGTGACTCTCATGAAGAATGAATAAATTGACCTGTACAGAAGCTAGCATAAAGTGTATGGGCTAAACATATCAAGTGACACAACATAGCCCCCTTGTAGCAAATAGAACATTTGAAAAAAATGTCTGTTTTCGTAAATAACATCAAATCGGTATGTGGATGTCGTTAACAAGCAGAGAAAAAATTGTACTAGGCCTGGTGATGCACATGACGGCTGAGTATATGATGCGAATATGTTATACTTATGTAAAAGAATACGTGAATATCGTAAAGGCATGGGGAAAAAATGGAAAAATTAGCATGCGATTTATAAGCGAATCAATCAGCGCAGAGAAATTTAACATGCATTTATATTGTGATAGTCTGAACGATTAAATAATACGTTCGGGATGAACAATTCGAAATATTGTGAAAACAGTAATAAATTGTCTATGGATGTGAAAACGAAATAAATCGTGAAAATAAGTAGAGTGGAACATAATAAATTAGTCGGTGGTGCCGACACAATGGTGAAATATGAACATACTCTGATGAGCTGCAGTAGAGTAAATAACGTCGATTAGCGATGTGTGTGTTACGATTCATCTAGTAGAGTTAAATGCATCCATGGACATAATAAGAAGGCAATATCGGAATGAATAAGGTATGGTAGGATAACATGAAAATGTGACATCCATATATATATATATATATATATATATATATATATATATACCAGTTGCTGTTTCACATACTACACAGATATATTCCAGTATTCCTGTTTGACATATAACAGGAACACGATTATGTTGATTAGTTTTCTTAAAAGAACATTCACCAAAATCTTCAGTGATTCGTTTATGTACAGAAAATCTAGGTTTTTATAGTATTTTAGATAGCCTTGGGTTTGCGGAGAATTCTGACATCCTACTAAACATAGTAGCAGTATAAATAATCTCATCCAATCAGAAACTTGACATGTAACTTTCCATGCTGTGAGGTATATTCCCATTTGAAAACCTGAGGCTGAAAGTGTCAATCGTTCTAAAATACGTAAACATCGCATAACAACTGATGAATCATATTGGTCATTTATATATATGCCATATCATTAAATATTCTAATTGTACTGCCAGTATTTGAAGGATGAGGTGGTGCATCAATTAAATATCCACTGATAAATATTCACTGAAAATTGAAGAACATATGGAACTCAAAACAACTTTCAACCAATATCAAAGTGAGAATCTTCAATACCAACGTCAAGGAAGCTCTACTGTATGGAGCTGAAACTTGGAGAACTACAACAACCACAATCAAGAAAGTACAAGTATTTATAAATACTTGTCTACGCAAGATACTTAACATCCATTGCGCGGATACCATCAGCAATAGCCTTCTGTGGGAGAGAACAAACCAACTTCCAGCTGAATTGGAAATTAGGAAATGGATAGGACATACATTACGCAAATCGTCAAACTGCATGACGAAGCAAGCCCTAACTTGGAATCCTGAAGGGAAGCGAAAAAGAGGAAGGCCAAAGAACACATTGCGTCGGATAACAGAAGCAGATATGAAAACGATGAATTACAACTGGACGGAGCTAGAAAGGATTGCCCAGGACAGGGTTGGATGGAGAATGCTGGTGAGCAGCCCATGCTCCTTCACGAGGAGTAACAGGCGTAAGTAAGATAAGTTGAAAGAGAAAGTATGGATTTAACAGTTCATAATATTCAAGGTTCAAACTAACATTCTAAAAAAAGAAAAGCCTTTAATAATATGCAATCGTCATAACAATATAAATTACATTTAGCTAATAAATAAGACATATATATTTTGCACTACTCATAAGTAGGTTGAATTTTAATAGTGAATTAACCGAGAAACCGAGAGACACATCAAAATGTGACAAATGAAGTTCAGTTAAATTATTCACTATTTGTTGAGTGTTGTTTAACTGAAAGGTTTTTCTGTCAATTCGAATTATGAGAGAATGCAGAGAGAGAAAAGATCAAGAGATAAACCTAATCAACAAAATTGTATTAAATATGATTTTAGAGTTCTGTAGAGAACTCCTATGATGTACATATCATCACACCTACCGCTAACTGTAAATTAAGTAAGTAAACGCTTTTGTCGTATTTGATTTCCAAGAAAAAACAAACATCAGAGCATCTAAATCATTAATTGAAACCAATTCACTGATTCTCTTATTACTAGTCTGATGAATTGTGCCCAAGAGAATTTAAATGATAGATACAGATGATGAATAATTTGATCAGATAGTTGATCCCTTGTATTCTCTCTCTTCACTATTGTGCAAAAATCCCTCTAGTATACGCTTATTTGTGCTCCATTCCTTTATATCATTCATTTATCTTTGCACAGTTTTCCACTTTTAGTTCAAATTACATTGAGCATTGTCTACTTAAACATAAACTTGATCACAATCATTCATTCCAAAATGAATCAATTATCACTTCTTTGGTAGGATTAGTGTTGATTAGTTAGACAATAATTATACAAAACTCATCAAGATGCAACTATAAAATACTAACTAATCAACCAAAATTTCCTATCTGTTTCATAGTAATCGTTATGATTTGATGTCCGGCTTCCTATCACGTCAACTATCCACCAATCAGAATATCACTTATACAAATCTTCACACTATGCCAAACCAATGACGTTCAACCGGTATGAGCAGTCTAGCGTCCTTATTCGTCTTATGTCCTCCTAGCCCGTCCACTTGAGTCCAGAACACAATACCAGCTTCTGTAGTATGAACCGAATCGTTTATTTCAGACATACTCGGTTTATATATCAATAAGACAGACCACAACGTACCAGAAAATAGGAAATAACATGTGTACACAAATAAGCCCAAAAAGTGGCTGTGAATGCGGGAGGCAGTAGTTAATAAACTGAACATAGCTTAACAACCGTAATTCGTATAATAGTAAATTATCGGTCAAAATAAAGCTTATAATAAGAGGAATATAAATATACATAATGTAATTGTTGAATGGTTATACAATAAGAATATTTATAGAATATTATTCCATTAATAGTCCTCGGAAGTTACCCGTAATTTGTCTTCGCTCGGATATAACAGTAATCACTTATTTTGTCAGTTTCCATTACTTATTCAGGTGATGTTAATCTCTGAAGCAAACTTTTGAAATTTTCTTGTTTGAAAACAATAGAATCTGATCTCACTGAAACTGCCATAATTTTACATCAGATATGTGAATAAATGAATCAAATAAACTGTGAAAACACAAGAACTTTTATACCGATTTTTTCCAAGATTTCTTGAAACACATGCAGCTCAACACTATCTTGATATGAGAGGTCTTCTGAAAGAGCGTACTGAATGGTCAACGTCATTACTGACTTCAGAATATCTACATTATTATCATCATTACTACTACTACTATACACGACTTCTAGTAATATTTTAGTCCGATAATAGTGGATTTGGATGAAGAACATAAAACTACATACATTCAATTTATTGCTAACTCAAAGTTTATGAAGCTGCAATCCCATAGCTTCATTCAAGGGTGTTATTATTTGCGATGTTGATAAACCTTGTTTGTGTCTGAGTACTGAGATCATGTAACTTACTTCCTATTCAATATATTAAAAGCTAATAGAAAGTGTATTTCGAGTTACGATACTGTCATTTAAATCTTATAATACAACGGATTTTATGTATGAGAAATTTACATCTGTTTGCTACCGTCTTTCTTAATATTCCAATGTATTAGTCTCACATTCGTTAACTCTTTCTTTATCTATTAAGACGAACAGTGTTACATCTGATACAAATAATTACTAATACAAGTTGCTAGACTTCACATAAGTGTATTGGGTCAACCTCCTTAAAGTTATAAAACTGTAGTGCGTTGGTGCCTAAGGTTTTCCTTCGTTTGAAGTTAGTTATAACCTTCTAAATCATTCTAAAAATTATAAGCCAATTCCAGTATACTCATGAGTTCACCTTATTTAGGTCCTACATTTTCCAGATTTAGAAATGTAGCATAAATCCACTGCTC